TATATATATATATATATATATATACATATATATATACACACACATACACACGTATGTATGTATGTATGTATGTATGTATGCATGTATGTATGTATGTATGTGTGCGTGTGTTTGTACACACATTTTGTTGAATAAAAACACTGAGATAAATGTGACCTCATATGGTGCAAGGATTTCCTGCCATATGTCTCTGTTTCATATTTGTAATGTGTGCTGTATTTCAAGATTTTTAAAAATATATTCTGTTGGGTTTACTATATTAGCCATGCGGTTACGATTTTTTCTGCTTACCATACCCACTTTACATGTACATTTTTCTTATCAAATTTGATTTCACTCATAACATCGCATCCGTTCTCAAGGTTGCCTAGAAAACTTGAGAGTCAGTTCTTAAGAATATCTTTTAGAGCAAAGCCTCCCCGCACCACCGATAAAGCCGCGCGTTATAAGTCAATGAGCGACAGGATAACGAGCGTAAATTTTTTACAGTATTCGGCGCTAGTCTGGGAAGGCTTAAGGACTCTGAATCTATGTGGAATGAGAAATGATTGTACTAAACATGCTTTTATGAAAAAAAATAAATTTGATAAATGAAAAAAAGGATGCGGTGTCAGAAAGAGCAGTAATACCCTAAGGGCACGAGACATTAAGACCTATTAAATCTGCCAGTGCCTCAGAATCCTCCCAGTGGGAAGAAAATCACGCGCCAGAGGGATGGGATTAAGCCGGCCATGTCGTCTTGTCGCCTTGCGTTGTTCTATGTGCATGTGGTCCGTCACATGTTGCTGTTGCCTTAATCAGTGCCACGCCCAGTCTCAAGGAGAAGCTTGACTTCGTTCAGAATGAGTCTGCCAGAAGCACTCCGGGTGCCCCTTGATGGACAAAGCCTCTCAACCTCCTCATGAAGGATAATCTTTGTACAAAAGGTACGAGTGGGAATGAATATCTTCACAATACAAGATATATATTTGACCGGTTTCGAAGATGCAGTCGAAGCCGGTCAAATACATCTCTTGTATTGTGAAGATATTAATTCTCATTCATACCTTTTGTATATTTATCAACATGAATATGGTTCAAAGATAATTTTTTCCTGAACACTTAAATTGATCTGATGATGGAAGAGTTATTTGCCAGAGTCACCCAAGTGCCCCTGGATAAAGAGCTAAAATGCTTTGAACTTGATTGTGAACCGTTTGTTTTTCTTGGCTTTCCCATACAGCCAGGGCGCTGGTGATACCTATTATCCCAGAGGTAGATATCAGCTATACACAGGTACTCACCCCATTCTAGTTACAAATCGTGGTTTAAATCTGTATTTAAGTTCTCGCTTATGATACTAGGAAGAAATGAGTAATGTCTCCCTCCTCGGTAGAAGGCACTGCCGTTTTCACTTTGTTTTCAGAAAACATCACATAAGTTACTCCACAGTCGTCGAACCCGTCGAACCAGAGGATTTACCCATCATCACCTTGTCGATATGGGCAGGTGCTGTCACTGTCATTGCAGACCTGGCCTATGCGTCCCAGAGGGAGGGATATATTGTCATTTATTCTGAATTCCACGGAAGCCATAGGGACAGTATGCCCAGTAGCAATATATACTTCTTGACCACCCTGCCCATCATTTCACAGACGATCCTGAATTAGGGTTGACGCGTCATTTCAAACCGGGTCAAAACTTGTTATTCGGTTGTGATGATGATTATAAGAAATATCAACAACAAAAATTATAACAAGAATAATAACAATAACAGTAATAATATCAACAACGATAATAACGATAACAATAATAATAATGATAATAAAGACAATAATTATCATGATAATAAAACAACAATAATAATAATGATAATAATAATAATAATAATGATAATAATAATAATGATAAAAAAATAATAACAATAAGAATTATAAAAATAATGATAATGATAAAAATAGTAATAATATCAATAATGAAAATAATGATAATAACACTAATTATGATGATAATAATAATAATGATAATAATAATAATAATGATAATAATAATGATAATAATAATAATAATAATAATAACAATAGTGATAATAATAATCATAATAATAATATAATAACAATAATAATGATAATAATGATATAATAACAAAAATAATAAGAATAATATTAATAGCAATAAAAAAATGATAGTGAATAATAACATAATGATACTGATAATTAATAAGAGCAATAACAACAACAAAATAACAATAATGATAGTAACAACAATATTAATACTAATAATGATAATAATAATAATGATAATAATAATAATAATAATAATAATAATAATAATAACAATAATAATAATAATAATAACTATAAAAATAATAATAATTATGATAATAATAACAATGATAATAACAATAATAATGATAAGAATACAATATTAATGATGATGATAATAACAATAACAGCAACAACAAAAATGATGATAATGATAATAATAATAATTATAATAATAATGATAATGATGATAACAATAATAATAATAATAATAATAATAATAATAATAATAAAATGATAATAATAATAACAACCATAATAATGATAATAATGATAACAACCATAATAATGATAATAATAATAACAACCATAATAATGATAATAATTACAACACTAGCAATAATAATGATAATAATAATAATAATAATAATAATAATAATAATAATAATAATAGTAATAATAATAATAATAGTAATGATAATAATAGTATTAACAATAATGATGTTGAAAAAAAAAAACATCAATAGCAACAACAACAACAACAACAACAACAACAACAATAATAATAATAATAATAATAAATCATATATAAATAAATAGTAATGACGATAATGATGATAATGATAAGTGATAATTATGGAAATGATAATGAAAATCAGGATAAAAAAATGAAAAGTAACAATACTACTACTATTTCTTCTACTAATAGCAGGGGGATTATGGAAAGGATAATGATAATGATCATGACAATAATAATAATGACGATAATGAAAACAATAAGGATAACAATAATGATAATAATAATAAGAGTAGTGATAATAATGATAATAATAAAAATAGCAATAATAATGATAATAATAACAATAATGATGGCAATAATAATAATAATAATAATGATAATAATAATAATAATAATAATGATAATAATAATAATAATAATAATAATAATAATAATAATAATAATAATAATAATGATAATAATGATGATGATGGTAATAATAATAGTAATAATGATAAGTAAAATAGCAATGATAATAAAAAATATACTATTACTACTACTACTACTACTATTGATAATAATAATAATAATAATAATAATAATAACAATAATAATAAAACAATAACAATAATAACAGTGATAATAATCATTATAATGATAATGGTGATAGTAATAATAACGATAATAATAACGATAATAATAATAATAATAATAATAATAATAATAAAAATAATAATAACAATGATAATTATAATTATGAAAATAATTATCACGATACCAATTATAACGCTAGTGATAATATCAATGTCAATAATGATTATAGTAACAATAACAATAACAATAACAATGCTACCATCACACTGATGCTGCTACTACTACTACTGCTACTGCAGCTATTACTGGTCCAGCAACTATTATTACTAATAATTAAAAAAATGACTATAATTTTAGTAATAATAACAACAAAAAACAACAACAATGTTAACGATAATGATAGAGATAATGATAAGAATGAGGATACACACATATTAGTAACAGAAACTATGTACCTTTGCAGTAAAAACCTTTTATGAAATTTACCTGATTTTAGTATACTTATTTATAATACACATAAAAAAGTAGAGATGAATAAATAATATACGCCATCATATGTTGGCAACGGTACAATAACAAGTAATTTTGAATGGCACTTTCTTTTTCCTTAACACCAAGAAAGCGTAAATAACAAGGAAATGCCCAATCTCAGGCACATAACTAAATCCTTACAGTTTGTATTCTCGGATAAGTAATGTAGGGAGGGAAAGACCGAGTGTCGAACCAACAGCTATTATCAGTCGCACAATCTTACCTCGGTCCATGATATTCCCTTTTGGCTTCCGTCGTTTCCTCAGCAGGTTCCTTACTCGAGGTTGAGGCGCTATTTCCGGAAGCACAGCCATCTTTACTTTCTTGCAGGCTGTCCGGAATTACCGCGCTCTTCGTTTCTTCGTCCACTTCCATTATATCATTGATATTCACTCACCCAACACGACAAACTACCTTTGGGTTGCATAACGTTTTCGGTGAATGAGTAAAGTTTGCCTTTCTCCTTCAAGAGAAAATCACACCCGGGTCGTTGCCATGACGACGAGGACGCGTTGTCATAACAACGGGGACGCGGCAATTATGTCGTCTCCTTTGACGTTTGATCACGAAACTATCAAAAAGATGTTTACATCGATATCATCGTGTGGTGACGTCACTGTTTAAGCTGTTTATCACTATGTTCACTTTTGCTAGAGGCTAGTGTGTTTACATGATTGACAATGAAAACTGCCCTGCATTTGTTGGGATACGCAAGCTGTAGAACCACTGAATAGACAACAAATATAAGATGCTGATTAAGGAAGTTGTAGTGCTTATCTTTTAATTGTCCCTTGAATTTTATCACGACCTGCTTTTATGTGTGTATCTGTGCGTGTGTGTATGGGTGTCTCTCTCTCTCTTTATATACATATATACATATGTACGTATACGTATACATATACATATGCATTCATATATACATATACATACATATACATACATATATATACATATATATACATATATATACATATACATATGCATGCATATATACACATACATACATATATATACATATATACATACATACATATATATACATATATACATATATGTGTATATATATTTTTCCATTTATTTATATAAATGTATATATATGTATATATCTTTATATATATTCATATATATATATA